TGGGGAGGGTTATAGGGTGGGCCCTGCTAGGAAACTAGGGCTCAGGGACAGAACTTATGTGGAAACAACAAAATGGAGCTGATCTGGTCCTCACATTCCCCCCTTTCTCTTGTAACTGAGGCTCAATCTTGAGCCTTATCTTCTGCAGTATGCACAGGGGTATATTGGGAACGGAGGACAAATAGTTGAACGGCATTGATTCTGGCTTGTACAAAGGTAATAAGGCGATTAATGATACAGGGTCCCAAAGTTAGTAGTAGTAGGAGGATCAGGAGGGGGCCAGCAATTGCTGATAATAAAGTGGTGAGCCAAGGGGACTTGTGGAATAGCGACTCGTACCATGATTGAGATTGTTCCCGCTCTAGTTTGCGCTTTCGGAGTCCTTCCCTAACTTTTTCCATAGATTGTTTTACTATTCCTGAATGATCTGCATAAAAACAACATTCTTCTCCTAGGGCTGCACAGAATCCTCCTTGTTGTAGAAACAATAAATCTAGGCCTCTGTGGTTTTGTAAAACAACTTCTGAGAGAGAAGTTAGGGAGTCTTGTAAAAGGGAAATGGATTTTTCTATCCTTTCTATGTCTAAGTCTATTGCTGCCCCTAAAGCTTTATAGTTTTGGTCTTGTAAAGCTAAAGAAGTTGCCCCAGTGGCTGCTCCCGCACCTGCGAGGCCTAGAAGTAATGCTATGCTGAGCGTAGTGAATGGTTCTCTGCGCTGTCTCAAAAGCTGGAGTCCTGAATTTAAATATATATCTTGTTCAGTGTGATAGATTAGGCGAGGAAACAGTTGCACTGCCACACAAAAGTCTTTAGTTAAGTTTAGCACAGTGCCATGTAAGCAGGGGGTTAAGCCAGTGGTGCAAGCCCACCAAAGATTTCTTGGAGGCTGAAGGTATTGTGATTGGTTCCAGAAATAGGAGCTGTTGCAGAGGTGTGCAAACTGGGCAGTGGGAGTACCTACACATAGGCCCTGTCCTGACACTGAGGGGAGGGTCAGTCGGGGTCCTTGCTGTTGCCATCGGCAGGCACTATTATTTTTAGCCACTGTAGGGGTCCCTTTTACGGCTATTGCCTCATAATAAGGGGGTTTAGCCTGGAAGCATAGCCAGCAAGACTTAGTAAGGTCTGGCCTAGATTCGTTTAATACCTGATAGGTTTTAGTAAGGATATCCCAAAGTGGAGGTTCCCCTATTGAATTAAGGGCAACAACTATGGAAGTTTTGAGAGTGGAGAGGATGGGGGGTTGTTTAGTGGTACTCAGGTTACGGCAGGGGGTCTTTGGACGTGGAAGGACGAGGTTGGGACCTAGAGCCTGGGGAGCTGTGGGCCTTAAAGGTGTATATATTACTTTCAAAGTGAATATATTTCCTATAGCTCTACCTTTAGGAGAAAATATTCGTAAGCCCCATTGTTTTCCTAGCTCCCATCCCCGTGCTGTTTTGCCTTCAATAGTGAAGGTTATACTTATTGGATCACATCGGGGAACTCCCTTTCGAGGACAGGGGGGGTCTACTTGTCTTTTTACTTCAATGTAATCCCTTTGGTATGGGGCCCTCCAGTAAATCTGTCCAGTAGACACACATGCCCAATCCCCACAGAAGTACGACCCCTCCCCCCCACATTTATCTTTGAGGTGTCCTGGGCATACATAGAAGTAATCTGGGTAAGGGTAAGTATCTATGAGTTTATCTATATCTACTATAAGTTCAGGGAACCAGGTGTCCTTTGGATATATGCCTGAGGTCTGGTTAGCAATAGTTCCTGTCAGGGCATTTATAAATCACCCAGGTTACATTTAAGGGCTGATGTAAGTTTTGGAACGATATACACACAAGTGAAAGGCATAA